AGTTGGGCCTTCATCTCCCGCTCGGTCACGGCGCCGGTGACTTCCATCAGGCGGTCCGCCAGCGTGCTCTTGCCGTGGTCGATGTGCGCGACGATCGAGAAGTTGCGGATCAGCGCGGGGTCGATCGGCTCGCCCGGCCGTCGCTTGCGGGGGCGGGGGGCGGTCCCTTTCTGGGGCGCCGGTGTGGACGGACTGCTAGCGGGAACGTTCGCCATAGGGGGGAGCAGCGGGGGCGGGGCCGGCCCTGTCGGGGCCGGTGTCTGAATCCTAAACCGGCTATTTGACTCACTGGCCACGTCCGAAGGAAGTGCGACGGCGCGCCCAATCTCGGGAGCTTCCGGGCCTAAAGCGGTCGGCCACGGCCCCTGCGTGAGTACGAAATGCGCGCCCGCGGGAAGCAATTCGGCGATTTAGCACTGTTTTTTGTTGGCTGTCGGCGTCGCTTACGTAAACTGTGGACGCTTCCAGGAGCCGGTGGCGGTTTGTGCTCAGTCAGGGGGGACGCGTCCGACTAGGACGAGCACGGCGCCAGCGAGAATGCGCCTGGCTCGGCGGCGAGCGACGCGTCGCTCGCCGCCTCGGGGAGCACGGCAGCGAGACGGTGAGGCTCCCAGGGAGACGGGAGACCGACCCGCGCCAAGGGCGACGCACCGGAAACGCCGTCCGCAGGGCAGTTTCCGAGCGACCACGCCCTCCGACTGCGCCCGACGCCACCCCCCGATCATCGTCAGCGACCGAGACCCCCGAATGGCTTGCTACCGTTTCGAGAAGCTCTCCCCGAGGCTGCTGCTTGACGCCGCCGGCTTGGCCCACAGCGATGCCGACTCGGTCGTCGCGCAAGTCGCGGTGGCCATGGACGAGCACGGCGCCGATCCCGGCGGCGGGAGTCACGGGCAGGGCGCCCACGACTCCAACCCGCACCAGGACGACCCGCTCCGAGGGGCGGAGCACGAGCGACTGCTCAACCTGATCCCGCACGAGATGGCGACCCACCGCGTCGCCCGCGACGGTGTGTGGAGCGACGCTTCGACTTGGGACGCCGGCGTCGCGCCGGAGGATGACGCACATGTGCTAGTCCCGGAGGGGATGACGCTCACGGTCGACATGCAGGTGGACGCACGCCTCGAGACGATGCGCGTCGACGGCACGCTGCGGTTCGCGGCCGACGAACACACCTACCTCGCGCTCGACACGCTCGTCGTGAGTCCCACCGGCACGCTCGAGATCGGCACGGCCGACGCTCCGATCGCCGCCGACGTGTCGGCAAGGATGCTCTTCACCGACGACGCGTTCATCGACTACGTCTGGGACCCCACCTTCTTGAGTCGGGGGCTGATCTCACACGGCAAAGTCAGCATCCACGGGGCGGCGAAAGACGGCTCGCAGGCCTTCTTGCGGGCTCCGCGAGCGGGTGACGACGAACTCCTGTTCCGTGAGCCGGTCGAAGGCTGGCAGGTGGGCGACCGTGTTCTGGTCCCGGGCGTCGTCCGGCCGACCGAGAACAACCGAGGCGTGACGCTCGTCGACGAGGACGAGATCGCGACGATCGCCGCCGTCAGCACCGACGGTCGTCGGGTGACCCTCGACCGCGCCTTGGCGTACGACCACGCGCCGCCGCAGGGAGGGCTCGACGTCCCCGCGTCGAACCTCGACCGCAACGTCGTGTTCGAATCGGAGAACAAGACCGACCCGCAACGTGCGGGGCACGTCATGTTCATGCACAACCCCGACGTGACGGTCAACCACGCCGCGTTCCGACACATCGGCCGCAACGACAAGAGCGTGCCGACCACCGACCCTCAACTCGACGACGAGGGACGGCTCATCGGCGGCACCGGCAACAATCCGCGGGGGCGTTACGCGGTCCACTTCCACCGCACCGGCAGCGAGTCGCTGGCGTCGACAGTGACCGGCGCCGTCGTCGAGAACGCGCCGGGCTGGGGCTTCGTGAATCACGACAGCCACGTCGTCTTCACCGATAACGTCACCTACAACGTCACGGGCTCCGGCTTCGTGACGGAGATCGGCAGCGAACGGGGCGCCTTCGTCGACAACGTCGCGATCCGCTCGAGCGGCAAGCCGTTCTACCAGCCGCTCGGCGCGTCGGACAAAGACACCCGCAACGGGTTCGGCTCCGCGGGGCACGGGTTCTGGTTGCAATCGGCGGGCGTCGCACTCGTCGGCAACGTCGCCGCCGGGCACGCCCAAGAAGGGATCTTCATCAACAACCGCCTGGTCACGGAGCCGGGCCGCGATGAGCCGACCTACACGAGCCTCGTCAACGTCCCCGCCGGTACTCCCGTCGAGTTCGAATCCAATGACAGCGAGCCGACGTTTCGCGACGACCTGATCCATGTCGAGCACGCCCCGCTCGCCGAGGTGCGTGGCAACAGCGTCTTCGCTTCGGGCGCCGGGCTTGCCGTGCGTTGGCGCCGGCCGACCTCGGCGGTCGCCGAGGGCGACGACGGCGACGTCATCGAGGGGCTCGAGGTCTGGAACGTCGAGTGGGCGGGGGTCCACCTCGGCTACAGCACGGGCCTGACGATCCGCAACAGCGTGATCCTCGGCGATCTCACGGACCCGATCCCGCTCAGCGCGGAAGAACAGGCCGACCGCCTGACGCAAACCAGTGAGGCTCGGACCGCGCAGGGGAAAGGCATCGCAGCCAACCGCAACAGCCGCGACCTGACGATTGAGAACGTTTACGTCGGCGGATTCACCGTCGGCATCCAAGCGCTGACCAACAGCACGACTTGGATCCGTGGCGCCCTTCTGCAGAACATTGAGAACCTGGTCGTCGTCACGCCGCAATCGACCGAGCTGTCGAACGGGGCCCGCCGTATCCACGCGACGGGCGTCTACAACTGGTCGCTCTCCAAGGCGGCGGTCGGCGGCGCGACTCCGTACAGCGTGCGGATGATCAAGCAGCTCGACCGGGCGGGCGTCGCCGGCGGCACGCAACCCGACCAAGAGTTTGGCGCCTTCGTCTCCGACGACGAGGTCTACTACAACGGTCACCGTCTCTACTTCGCCGACCAGCACGCCGACGCGATCCCGTTCCCGGAAGGCGCCACGCCCGACTTCTTCGCCGGGGCGCCCTACCGAGACTACATCGGGCAAACGAGCGAAGTGTTGCTCGAGGACTTTGGGCTCGCGCTGAGCGGAGCGGTGGCCCCGGCCGGCGCGGCCGCGTTGCCCGGCATCGACGGCTTGGCCGTCGAGTTGGCCGAGACGCCGCCCCCGCCTTCGAAAGTCGAGTTCCGGTTCGACGCGGAGTCGTCGGACACCCGTTGGACGCTCGGCGAAAGCGACTTGGCCATCGACTGGCAAACCAAGGGGATCTCCCCCGACGCGTCGTGGCGTGTTTACCTCAACGGTCCGAGTGGAACTCAGGAGATAGCCCGGAGCGAGCTTGCCGAGAGCGAAGGGACGGTGCTGTCCCGCCAAGACGTCGAGGGGTGGCAGGAGTGGCGATTCAGCTGGCCGACCGTCGGGCAGTTCCCGCCGTGGTGGATCGGCGAAGTCGTCGCGGGCGAGTACACGCTCATCGCGAGCGCCGAGGACGGCCCCGCCGTCTACTTGGGCCGCGTGACGATCGACGACCCGGCGGAGCACCCCGGCGGTGGCCATGACCCAATCGCTCACGCGATGGCGGTGTTCCCGCCCACGCCAACGGCTGGCGATACGCCGTCGGCGCCGGCGACGGTCAGGGCCCCCGCCGTTGACGCGGCGGCCGAACTGCTGCTGATCGAGACGCCGCCGCCCTTTGATGACGAGGTCGAAGCGTCCTTGGTGACGCCCGATGGCCACGATCACGAGGCAAGTGACGCGGCCGTCGAAGCGCTAGGCCGACGCCAGCACCGCCCGCTTCTCCGCGATGGTCGCGAGTAGCGCTTTCTGCGGGTCGGCGAACTTCTGGACGCCTTCGCGCATCAGCGTCTCCTCAAGGTGCGCGAAGTCGACTCCCGAGTCGATCGCCGCCAGCACCGAGGCGTCGGGAAGTTGGTCGACCCGGCGAGTGAAGGTCTGGCCGCTGGCTTGGGCCGCGTCGTTCGTCGCGGGCGGGTTGGTTTGGATGTCGCTGCCGGCCAGGGCGGCGACGTACTTCCAGGCGTCGTCCTCGGGCTTCTTGGTCCCGGTGCTCGCGAAGATGATCTCTTGGCTCAGGTCGAGGTCGTCATGCGTGCGAGCCATCTCGTCCCAGAAGGTCTGGTTCGCTTGCCAGATCCGCTGCGCGTTGACGATGCCGACAAGGCCCTGCGCGTCGGCCGGCAGGGCGGGGCAGTGCTTCTCTGTGTAGACGTCGATGCGCGACACAAAGATGCTGTAGACGCTCTTGAAGCCGACGAGCGTCCCGCGGCGTTGCGCGCCGCGCCAAACGGCGTCGCGGGCCCGCTCGTACTGCGCTTGGCTGAAGATCAGCGTGACGTTGAGCGTCACGCCCGCGGCGCAGAGCTCTTCGAGGGCGTCGATCCCGGCGGGCGTCGCCGGCACCTTGATCATCCGGTTCTCTTGCCCCGCGCTCCACTCCAGGCCGAGCGCCACGTAACGGGCGACCCGCTCGGTGTGCGGCAGGTCGAGCTCTGGGTCCTCGATCAGCGGGTCGAGCTCGAAGCTGACCCAGCCGTCGTCGCAGCCACTCTCTTCCCACGACCAGTGGAACGCGTTCTGCGCTTCGCCGACGACGTGGTCCGCCATGGCCCAGGCGACGTCCTCGTCGTCGAATCCCTCGGCGATCAGCTCGGCGATCGTGTCGTCGTACCGACCCGTCTTGATCAGGTCGGCGATGATGATCGGATTGGAGGTGGCGCCCGAGGCGCCCAACTCGATGTTCTTCGCGACCAGGTCGGGGTCGACGGAGTCGAGCCAGAGCTTGGTCCCCGAGGCGACGAGCGATTCGAGCGGCGTGGTCATCGGCGGTTCGGTCCTTCGGCGCCAGGTGCAGAGTCAGACCGAAGTATCGGTCCGGGTCGCGAAGCGGGCAAGCTGGCTTTCGTCGGTCAGGCTTTCGCCCGCGCCAGCCCCGCGGCGCCGATGTAGCCCGCCTTGCCGCCGAGCTTGGCGAACTCGATCGCCTTCTGGCCGCGGAGGCTGGGGATCAGCCGGGCGTCGACGTGCTCGCGGACCGCGGCCAGAAAACGCTCGCCGAGCACGTGGCCAGCTCCGCCGAACGTCAGGGCGCCGCCGATCACAACCGCTTCCGGGTCGACTGTGTGGATCACCGTCACGATGCCGATTGCGAGCATCTTCGCGGTGTGCATCACGACGCTCAGCGCCACCTCGTCGCCGGCCTCGGCGGCGTTCGCGACCAAGAGGGGCGTCAGCTTCTCGCCGGCGTCGACCGAGTCGCGCAGCGAGGTCTCGACGAATCGGTCCGCCAGGATGCGGCGAACCTGGTGGACGACGCCGTAGCTGCCGCAGTACCCCTCGAGTGTCCCGCGGACTCCCAGCGAGTTGAGCGGGGCGTTGTCGTCGCAGTCGACGAGGATGTGGCCGATCTCGCCGCCGCAGCTGTGGGCGCCGTCGATCACTTGGTCGTCGATGATCACGCCGCCGCCGACGCCCGTCCCCAGCGTCACGGCGACCAGGCTGTCGAACCGGTCGCCGGCGCCGGCCCAGAACTCGCCGTACGCGGCGGCGTTGGCGTCGTTCTCGTAGTTGACGGGTTTGCCGGTCGCCTTGGCGTACACGTCACGCAGCGGCGTGTTGTGCCAGGCCGGCAAGTTGCCGGGGCAGAGCAGCATGCCGGTGCCGAGGTCCATTGGGCCCGGCGAGGCGAGGCCGACGGCCGGGATCTCAGCGAACGAGGCGCCCGCCTCCTTGGCGAGCTTCTCCAGCGACGCAGCGACGCGAGCGGCGGCGTCCTCCGGCCCCCGGTCTTGCTGCGTGGGAATCGACTCGTACGCCACCGTCTGGGCGCTGTCGTCGACCAGCCCGATCTTGATGTTCGTGCCGCCGATGTCGACGCCGGCGTACAGGGAATTGGCGGGCATCAGCGGCGTGGGCTCCCAGCGAGAAGACGCGGACCGTTGCGAACAGCGGATCGTAAGCCGCCGCCGCCCGGCTCGCAATTCACGGGGCGCCAGCGGGGCGGAGGCGGCTGCAGCGTGGATCGCCATACGAAACAATCCCGCTTGGGGCGTGCCCGCCACGGAGCGGGCCGTATCATGGAGCGAGGTCCCGCCGCACGCCCCCAAGCCCGCCCGCGAGGAACTACCTGAAATGGTCGCCACGGTTTCCCCCCACGACCTCGCCGAGGCGCTCTCCACCAGCGACCCGACACTGATCGACGTCCGGACCCCGGCCGAGTTCGGCGAAGCCCACGTCCGCGGGGCGGAGAACGTGCCGCTCGATCGGCTCACGCCGGAACGGTACGTCGAACACACCGGGCCGTTGTTCGTTGTGTGTCAGAAGGGTGGCCGCAGCCAGATGGCTTGCGACAAGCTGGCCGACGCAGGCGTCGCCGACGTGCGGAACGTGGCCGGCGGCACGCTGGCGTGCGAGGTCGCCGGACTGCCACTCGTCCGCGGGCGCAAGGCGATCTCGTTGGAGCGTCAGGTTCGGATCGCGGCGGGGTCGCTGGTGCTGACGGGCGTCGCCCTCGGCGTCGCGGTGCATCCCGCCTGGCTTGGCCTGGCCGCCTTCGTCGGGGCGGGGCTCGTCTTCGCCGGCGTGACCGACACCTGCGGCATGGGCATGCTGCTGGCGCGGATGCCGTGGAACCAATCCCGCTGCACCGACTAACCGGCGCCACGCAGGTCGGTCGAGGAGACGTCGCAGCGGAACTCCGCCTCGGTCAGCGGTTCGCAAAGAACGCGTAGGCTTGAGGGCAGGTCGACCTGGTCGAGCGTCACGAATCGGTCGCCGCTGACGCGGCCGAACACGAGGAAGCGACAGCCCAAGCTCGCCAGCTCGGCGATCGCCGCGTCACGAGCCGCTTCGCTCGCGTAGTAGCGTCCACGGCCGATGCGCTCGATCGTGTCGGCGCCGACGGCGAACACCGCGCCGGGCGCTAGTCGCGCTTTCTCGACGAAGGTCGTCGCACGGGTCAGCCACACGGGGCTATCCGCGAGCGTGGATAGGCGCTGCTCGATCTCGGCGTAATCGAGGGGTGGCTTCTCGACGTTGGTGATCGACAACTCGTACACCACGGGCCTGCCCGTCCTCCGCAAGGCCTCCGTGGCGATCTCTCGGTGGCCTTCGTGCGGGGGATTGAAAGACCCGGGCAACAGGCAAACGTCGGTTTCGCGGGGTGGCGGGGCGCCGTGGACGACGCACACCGCACGTTCGCCGAGCAGCAACTCGGCCCACTCGGGGTCGGCGATCGTCTCGCTCACCGAGGCCTCAATGCCCGGCGGCGTCTTGGCCAGGTCGAGCTGGTGCGCGCCCGCCGCGTCCGCCAGGGCCGCGAGAATCGCGTGCGTGGTAGCCCGCTCTTCGGCGGCACGCGAAGTGTCCGACTTGTCGAAGCGGAGCGAAACCACAAGCGTTCGCGCGGCGGTCTGGACGGCGACGAACGCGCGGTGGTCGCCCCGTTTCGGACGGTCGGTCGCCAAGGCGGCCGTGCATCCCAACCCGAAAAGCTCGCGCGGCTCGCCAGCGTCGAGCTTCCTCGCCCGAATCCACGCCGTCATCGACATGCCGCGTGCGGTCTTCTCGCTGCACGCTTGATCTGGGGGAGCTCCCAGCCACTCCGAGAGAGAAGCTCCGCTGTAAGGCACGACCGCTTCGAGCACCGTTCCCGAAGCTCCCGGCCGTGAGAGCAACTCGGCGAGCGCCCCGGCGCCACCCCCAGTCACCGCAACCACGCCGCGTAGCGGCGAGGCGTGCACAGCGGCGACGAGGTCCGAGAGCATCATCGGAGCCATTGTAGGTGGCCGAAACGCCGCCGCGACCCGCCTCGGCGCGTGGCGGAGAAGCAACGCGTTGCGCAGAGACATCACGGCTTCTGACCGATTCGACCGATTGGGGGGGCTGTCGGGCTACAATCGCCCTCGCCCGCGGCGAAACGCGCAGCGGGCGCGCGGGTTGCGATGCGTAGATGCTCGAGGCGAACTCTCGCCCACGAGTCTCCTCCTCCGAGTCGTACCGCATGGCCGACGTTGTCGAGATCAACGACATCGATGAGCTGAGGTCCTATCACCTCGCCTGGACCGCTCTGCACGCCGAAACGCCCGGCGCGTCGTTCTTCCAAACCCTCGAGTGGCTGACCACCTACTGGAGGCACGCCGGCGAGGGACAGCGACTCCGGGTTCTCGTGGTCCGCTCCGACGGCCGCCCCATCGGCATCGTGCCCCTTGTCGAGCGGAACGAGCCGAGTCGCTTCGGGCCTGTTCGGGTGCTGACCTACCCGCTGGACGACTGGGGCGCCTGGTACGGGCCGATCGGTCGGAGCCTCACCGCGACGCTCACGCTAGCGATGAAGCACGTCGCCAGGGCGCCACGCACGTGGGACGTCTTCGAGCCACGCTGGATCGACCACCACGGCGTCGACCGCGGGCGAACGGAAAGGGCGATGCGGCTGGCCGGTTTGGTCAGTGCGGCATCGGCTTCGCAGGACTCATCCGTTATCGAGTGCGGACGCGTTGGCGACTGGGGCCGCTACTTGGCTTCGCGCTCGGCGAAGACCCGGCACGAATTGCTGCGGCAGCGTCGGCGGCTTGAGGGCCATCATCGCGTTGAGCACGTGCGGGTTCGCCCCGCGCCGCTGCGAGAAGGGGATGGGGACCCCCACGACGACCTCTACGAAGCCTGCCTTCAGATATCGCGTCGCAGTTGGCAGGCGACCTCTCCCAACGGCAACACGCTGTGCCAAGAAGGTGTTGCCCCCTTCCTACGCGACGCCCACGAGCAGGCGGCTCGGCTGGGGATGCTCGACCTGAACCTGCTCAGGGTCGACGGCCGGCCGGCGGCCTACTTCTACGCGTACCACCACCGCGGCGGAGTCGTCGGCCTGCGAATGGGGTACGACCCCGCGGCGCCGGGTGGGGCGGGCGCGGTGCTGCTCGGTCACGTGATCGAGGACAGCTTCGCCCGGGGCGACGAGCGGATCGACCTCGGCGTGGGAGCTGAAGCGTTCAAGCGTCGTCTCCGCACCACGGCGTCGCCTTCGGGGCGCGCGACCTGCGTTGCGCCGGCGGCGTGGGGCGTTCGTGTGCGACAAGTCGCTAAGCGTTTGCTGAAGGCGAGGCGACCGGCGTAGTCTAACGCTCGCTCTGCGCACACGGCGTGCGTAAGAGCCGAGATCTGCTTGCGCACCTGGCTGTGTATTTCACATGTGGCCGTTGCGGCGTCGCAGTCTTCCTTGATTGCGTATTGTCAATAAAATTTCTGCAAGCGCTTGCAATGCGGATCGCGGCACGCTAGTTTCGCGATCAACTCATCTCACGCGGAACCGTGTTCTAAACACAGCTCGGTTCCGCACCTCCATGTACGCTTTTCAACGGGAGCGGACTAATGAAAGTGTGTGTACATGCTGCGCTGTTGGCTTTGATTGCCTCTCAGGCCTCGGCTGCGTCGATGCAGTTTGACTTCGGCCGCACAAACCTCCAATCGCCTTTCAATCCAGGCACGGACGGTTGGAACAACATCGTCCCCGCGACCACCGATCTGTTCGCGATCTTCGACGAGAACGGAGCGATTGTCCCGGGCGTCTCCTTGTCGATCACCGACACCTTCTTCCAGACCGGCGAGCCCTCGTCGCTCGGCTCCGAGTCTCCCTCTGGCGACGCGGCAGGTTACCCCGTGTCGGCAACCGACGACTACTTCTTCGGGCACTCGACGGCTTTCGCCGGCGCCGATCCCAACCCCTACGGCGAAGTGACCCTGCGCGGGCTCGATCCGTCGCAAGTCTACGATTTCACGTTCTTTTCAGCCCGCAACGGGATCGGCGACAACCGCGACACCGAGTTTATCGTGACCGGCGCCAACTCCGGCTCGGGGGTCGCCTCGACGGGCAACAACGACACGGAGGTGGTGAAGATCCTCGGCATTGCGCCAGATGGCAACAATGAGATCTCGGTCGGTGTCCAGGCAGGTCCGGACAATAACAACACCATTGGTTTCTTCTACATCAACTTGATGGACGTGAGTGTTGGCATCCCCGAGCCGACCACGGGCGTCTTGCTCGCGATGGGCGGGTTGTTGGTTGCGGCGCGGCGCCGTTGAAGACCCTTGTCACCCGCCCGTGGGTCGTCCGCGGGCGGGATTACAAAAACCGTAGAAGCGAGGGTCTGATGTATACACGATGCATGTTTACAGCAGCGGTTGCATTGCTGGTCTGTTGCGGAGGGGCCAAGGCGGCTCCCAAGAACGTCTTGTTCTACGGCAATAGCTTTACACTGGGTTTTGGGAGCACAACCAGTGTTAACGCGTTGTTCGAGGACATCGCGATCGCCGCGGGCCACGACGCGCCTTTGGTGCAATCGGCGGCCGCAAGCGGTCAAGACATCGAGTGGCACTTGAACAACAACACCGCGGCGATCTTCACCCTGATCCCACCCGATCGGGATTGGGACGCCGTGGTGATGCAAGAGCATTCGACGAAGCTGACGCGGGCCTACACCGGTAACCCACGGTTCCCGGACAGCGTCGACGAGTCAAAGTCGACGGTCGTCGATCTCTACAACACGGTCCAACTGCGCAGCCCGAACGCGGTGCCGGTGTTGTACGAGACCTGGGCGCGTGGCCCGGGCCACACGTTCTACACCCCGCCGAACGTCATCTTCACCGATCCGGCGGAGATGCAGGCAGAGGTCCGTGACGGCTACGACGCCTTGAAGGAAGCGATCGACACGGAGGAAGGAGCGCCCACCGCTTTGATCGCGCCCGTGGGGGACGCGTGGGAAGAGGCGAACTACGACAACCTGCACGCCAACGATAACTGGCACGCAGGCAACCGCGGGACGCTTCTGGCCGCGCTGGTCATCTACGGCACCGTGTACGGTGACACGACCACGTCCGACATTCCGCTTGATGCGATCCTGACGAGCGTCAACCTCGGCCCCGACGACGGGGCTTTTTTGACCGCCGCGGCGGACGCGGTGCTGAACCCGATCCCGGAGCCCTCCTGCGTGCTACTGGCTGCGATGGCGATCGTTTCGCAGGCAGCCAGACGTCGCCGGTGAGCTCTTCCCCGTCCCGTTGAGCTGCGTTGCCAGCAACGCATGCGAGAAGGCCGCGGCGAGTCACCTCGTCGCGGCCTTCTTAATTGGTCGATCGCTCGGTCGGGACAGCTTGGCTACGGGGCTTGCCGGTCGCTGCGGACCGCTTCGGACTGCGCTTTCAGAGCGGCCGCCTCGTTGGAAAGCTTGAACTCCGGTCCCGGAGCGTAGTACTGCACGTCGTCCGTCAGGTAGTACGGGCTCGGCAGTGTCTGGCCGGCGACGTCGGTCTGGCACCCCGTCAGGGCGGTGCAGGCGCTGGCCAGGGCCGCGGCGGCCAGGCAATAAGTGGGCAGCGGACGGGTCTTCGAACCGTGATCCATGCTGGTTCTCTCCACAACGCGGCGTCTTGCCGCGAACCGTGTCTGAGTGGTCGGTGGCGGCGCCCTCGGCGAGTGCGGGGCGTCATAACCGGTATCGGCGGCACAACCGGCAGACTTTCACCGAATTGACGAAGGCGACGAGAACCGCTCTCGCGAGTACCCTGAAGGAGGGGCGCCAGCAGCCAATTTGCGGTCCGGTCCAGCCTGAGAAACACGATGCAACGCTTGGGTTTACGCAACCTCCTGATGGCGACGACGGCGTTGCTAGCGTCGGGGATTCTCTCCCCACACGCCTCAGCGCAGGTCGGTCGGGCGTACCCGGGGCAGATGTACGCCACGGCGGTCGAGGAGCTCTACGAGGGCGACTACGACCTGGCGGAGCGATTCCTACGCCGTGAGGTGCGTGGTGCTGTCCGTGTCGGCGCGTCGCGTTGGGTCGACTCGATCTGCTTCGGGGCCATGCTCGGCGAGACGCTGTACCAGCGGGGGCAGCTCGATCAGGCGCTCGAGCAGTTTGATGGCGTCATCGATCTGCTGCTCGACAACCCGGCCTGGCTGTCGCAGATCAACTTCCAGCAGCCGCTCCGAGAGGACATCGCGATCGGCCGGAGGGTCCCGCCTTGGGCGCGGCCGACTCGGCAGGTGGTCTACGCCGACGTTCCTCAGACCTTCTTGTACCAAGCCGGCAGGCTGAACAACTCCGCCGCCGCACAGACCGGCGGCGTGGTTCAGGCGGCGCAGTTCTGGAAACTGAACGCCGAGGAGGTCGCCTACACGACGGCCTGGGCGCTGTACCGCCGCGGGCAGTTGCTCGGACCGCTCGGAGCCTACGACAAGCAGCGCACCGATCGGCTGGTCAGTCGCTTCGCCGCGGGCGGCATCGGCGACCCGGAGCACTGGTCGTCGGCATGGGTTGACCTGTGGCAGGGCCTCGCGAAGGCGTCGACGGGCGACGTGCTTGAGGCGAAGCCCTACCTCGACCGTGCCTTGCTGCTTGCGGGGCGTCTCGAACACCGGGCCGGGGGCATCGGCTTGCTCGCGCTCGGCCGACTGACCGCCGGCCAGGACGCCGCCGGAGCGGCGACTTTGTTTGCCGAAGCGCTCGCGTCGGGGATCGCTTTCGACGAGCCGGGGCTCGTCGCCGAAGCAACCCAGGCGTTGCACGAGTTGGCCGTCATCACCGGCCAAACGCCCCCGCCCCCCGCGGTCGAAGTCGCCGACTGGGCAGGCCGCCGCGGCCGCCGTCACGTCGCCATCACGGCGCAGCTCGCCATGGCTGAAGCGGCGCTCCTCCAAGGCGAGATGGTTGCCCCCGGCGCGTTGTTCCAGCGGGCGCCGGACGTCGCGGCCGGCCTGCTCGGACGCGAGGCGGAGCGGCTGACGGCGATGCTCGCCGCCGGCGACGACAAGATGAAAGAACCGCTCGAAGTGGCGACGCAGGCGGTGGCCGGCTACCTGCCGATGTCGCGCCGACTCATGCAGCTGCGCGTCGCCCTCGCCTGGTTCAACGACGGGCGCCTCTCGTTGAGGCAGGCCCGCGAGGCGTTCGGCAAGCTGCTGGACGACCCCTCGATCGTGGCCTGGGCCACGACGCCTCTGGACGGTCTGGCGTCGTCCGTGTCGCCGGCTACCGAGGCGTTCAACGCCTGGTTCGCCGCGGCCGTCGATCGCCGCGACGCGATGCTGGCGATGCGTGTGATCGACCTGCAGCGGCGCCGTGAGTTCTTCGCCACCCAGCCGCTCGGCGGCCGGCTGACGGCGGTTCGTTGGCTCCTCGAAGCGCCCGACGCCGCGCTTCCCGACGCGGCGGTCGAAGCTCGCGCCAAGATCGAAGCGGCGTTCCCCGCGTACCGAGCGGCGCAGCTCGATCGCGACAAGGCGATCGAAGAACTCCGCGAGGAACTCGCGGACAAGCCGGAGCAACTCGGCGGCGGCAAGCGGTTCGCCACACGATTGCAACGCGCCGTCGCGCAGCAGGAGCGTCTCGTGCTCGCGGCGGCCATGTCGCGGCTGCCGACGCCGCTGGTCTACCCGCCGCCGATCGACCCGATCGCCGCCAAGGCGGCGATGGCGCCCGGCGAGGTGCTGCTGGCGTTCGACGTGTGGCAAGACGACCTCTACGGCGTTCGGCTGTCGCGCGACGGCGAGCAGCTCTGGCGGATCGACAAGGTGTCGCGGGTCGCGGACTTAGTCGATCGCTTGCTCACGGAGGTGGCGGGCGCAACCGTCGACTCTTCCTGGTCGATCGAAGAGCTCAAGAGCAGCTCTTGGGCCGACGCTGCGAGACGACTCGACGAAGTCTTGCTCGCCGGATCGGGGCTCGACCCGAGCTCGATCACGCAGCTCCGCGTCTGCCCGGCCGGGCCTTTGTGGCGGGCGCCGTTCGCTCTGCTGATGGCGACCACGGCGCCGGAAGGCGACGACTTGGCGGTTGTGACACACGCCCCGACGCCCGGCTGGGCGGTGCGCGCTCGATCGGAACTGCCGGCGACGCCGGGACGTCCGGCTACTTGGCTCGCGAAGGTCGAGAAGCCGATGGTCGAGCCGCCTTGGGGCGACGACCCGGTCGCCCGGGTCGCCGCGGCGACGCCGATGCTTGAAGGCCTCGACGCGATGCCGCTCGTGAAGTCGTTGGCCGACCGAGTCGTGTTCGACGCTTCGGGCGTCCCGCTCGGCGCCGACACACTGGAGCTGCAACTCACGCGCGGCCCGAAGGGCGCGCGGTCGCTCGGCTCGTGGGTCGCGCTCCCAAGGCGCGGTCCGCGGGTCGCGACGCTGCTTGGCCTCGGCGGCGACGCGAAGCGACCCCGACGTCGTAAAGAGGCCGCGCCGCTCGGCGACCCGGAGTTCCACATCCTCAGCGCGTTGCTCGCTGGGGGCTCGGACACGCTGCTTGTCGAGAAGTGGCCGACCGGCGGAGCGCGTTCGCGTGAGCTGATCGCGGAGTGGCTCGTCGGCCTCGGGCGACTGTCGCCCGCCGACGCGTGGCGTCGCTCGGTCATGCTCGCGCGGGGCGACCGCCTCGACCCCGACCGCGAACCGCGGCTCGCGCTCGAACCGGGTGACAACCCCGCCGCCGAGCACCCGTTCTGGTGGGCCGGCTACGTGCTCGTCGACTGACGGCGCGATCGGATCAGAAGCCGATCTGCACCTGCGAGCGGAACAGCACGCCGTCGTCGCCGGCGATCAGGTCGGCCGGTGTGCTCGTGACCGGGCTGCCATCGAGCGACGTGACGTCCATCGAGAACTTGTTCACGCGGTCTACAAGCTTGCCGTCACGCGTGCCGTTGCCCCAGTAGTAGTTGAACCCGGCGGCGTACTCCTGCGCCGTGTTGCGTTCGCCCGACACTTGCGACATCCGGGCGAGCAACTCGAAGCGTTTCGGGACGAGGAACACGCCCCCCTCGACTCGGAAGCCGTGGTCGTCGATCTGCGTCACGGGGATCACGCCGTCGGCGGTGAGGTCGTGGATCGAGCGGACGAAGTACTCGCCGTTGAGGCTCCAGCCGTTCCACTTCAGGCCCGCGTCGATCGAGCCGCCGAGGACGCGGTCGCTAAGCACTCGCACGCCCGGCGCCAGGGCGCCGACGTCAGCCAGCCGCGTGCCGTCCGACAAGCGGAGGAAGCCGTCGTCGCCCAGCGGCGCGCCGGCGTCGGCACGGTCGGTCGACCGGTCGAACGCGACGCTCGCGCCGATTCGAATCACCGGATCACGATGGCAGGCGTAGTCGGCGAAACCCGGTCCATAAGGCCCGAGCGGGTCCCAATGGATCGTCGCGGCGGCGCCGAGGTTGTCGTCGAGCGAGAAGGGGGGCCGCGTTGAGGTCCGCTGACCGTTGGTGAGCGACGCCTCGTAGTGCCACGCGTCGTCGGGGCCGAAGTCTCCTAGCAGCCAGACGCCATCGCTGAAGCCGACCCGAAAGAACTCGGTCGCCATCGAGCGGTCGACCAGCAGCAGGTGCCGCGACGACATCAGCCACTCGCGGTCGCTGGCGACCTTCCAACGGCCGACGCGGACCTTCAGCGCGTCGTCGAAGGCGTACGTGAAAATGTAGGCGAGTTGATCAACGTTCGACCCGCCGTCGGCGTCGCCGTCGAAGATGGCGTAGTAGGTCAGGTTCGGGTCGAGCGCCGTGCCGGAGATGTTGAGCCGCAGCCGTTCGGTGTCGAAGTTGTTGCGGTTGCGGATCTGGCGGGTGACGCCGGCCGAGTCGGTCCACGTGCTAGCGTCGCGGGCGAAGCCGGTGTGGCGGAGCTGCAAGCGCGCCCCGATGTACATCGCGTACGGGTCGCGCTCGAGGTCGGTCGCCCGGATGAAGAAACCCTTGTCGAACAACGCGCCGACTTCGAAGCGTGGCTGCACCGGCGGGCAGTCGTCCCAGGCGGCGCCGAGGAGCGGCTGGTAGCCCGCCGTGACGACAGGGTAGGGCGCCACGCTCGGCGCGGCGCCGTCGACCGGCGGCAAACGCCGCGGCTCGTCTGCTTGCGACGCGAGCGTCAGCAGCAGAGCTAGCAGGGCGGCTTGTAACGATTGCGCGGTCATCCACCTCGCGTATCGGCGTTGAGCCGTTTCGACGCCACGATCGATCGCGACGAGGCGCCTCTCGGGGGTGGCAGCGTTGGCTACGCTGTTCGGCTTCG